AAGGAAGGGCCAACCCCGCACTACAAGTGAAGCACTGCTCCGAGGCTTCGGTTTTCAGATGGGGTGTTTTTTGTTTACATTCAGAAGCTCCTTTGACACCACTTTGATAGTATTTCCACACACTACAGTTCTATGCATCGGGAATCGACAAACGGGAAGCTTCCGCCTAAAAGAAACATTCATTGTGTGATGGATAATAGCAAATTGTATAGTTTAGTGACATTTATGCAAAAATCGCATCTTGGTTATTTTTCGATAAATAACAACAGCGATTTTGATTTGGAATTTGTTTTATAAAATTCTAAACTGTTGAACTACAAAAATATAAATTTTTAGCAAAAATATTATGCTTAAAGAATGAAAAATAGCATACAGTACCTTTAATATTGTATACGTCTTTCGATACCCTTGATAGAGTATTCACTACTTTTATTTTATGTTCCAAAAACAAAAATGTTTTAAATAAAATAAGTTTCTTTGTCATCCACATATTTTTATAACATGTTCTTTTTAAAAATTTTTAGATGAGAGGCTTTATAGTTGCTCATTTTAAACTCTGCATTTTATTTTTATATAACTGAAAACACTTTGGGTTTACACTTTTTACTTATTTGGGTTAATTAAAAAAATAAAATTACCAATAGATGCTGCAATCCTCGTCAAAATAAATAAATATGCACACAGATATTGCAATAACTTAACTTTTGATTGATTTGTAAGTGTACATTTGTGTAAATTATGTACAATTTTACACAAATGTGTGGAACAGAAGACTGATACATTTGCGAATTTGGCGGAAGTACTATGTGCGGTCAAGGTGACATGACCATATGAATGTGCCACATCATCAAGATGCCTTATTATGAATTTTAATACATTTACACCATTACATTTAAGGGCCGGATACATTTAGAGTTACATAGGCTTGGAACTTTTGGGGTTATACTGGCGCACAACAGGCAATATTAGCCTGCTCTTGCCATTACTTATCTAATCCCTTTATGGGCCTGACGGTGATCAAACCAGTTAGGGTGATTCTCTCGAAGAGGCATATCTGAATCGGAAGAAGAAACAGAGCACTTTGCTCCTGTGTAGAATCTGCTTATTGAAATCATATATATATATATATATATATATATATATTTAAAAAATGGGGAAGGGCTTGCCTACTACTTCATGAAATCTTGTTGCAGATACATTTCTTCACTTTACAGTTTTCCAGTGAAATTTCTATGTGGATCATGTAGTGTGACCACTTAAAATATTCACAAAATTAAGTTCTGCCTACAGACTAGATTAATTAGTTTGTCGGTATCTTAAATCCCGAGGAACAAAAACATGGATATTACTAGCTGTTTCTCAGCAAGTTGGAGGTTCTGGACATAGGCATTTAGGCAAATTAAGTAACGTTCTGGAAGGGTGTTAAAGCTGCACAAGAGATGAATGATTCATTTAGGGGAAAAAATAATAATTAAATCACATCCTTTTGTAAGCTCTTCTTCAATTGCATAAGAACTTCAAGAAGCAACCAGACAATATCTTTCTAGAAAAGCAGAAATCTGATTTTAAAAAAAGCCTGGATATTGTGTTTGAGTAGATGAAAACCGTTCATAAGTAAAGCTAACACAGAGAAAAGATTAAAATTTGAAAAAGAATTCATTAACAAGACTATATACTTCTGGCACTGAGGGTTTTTTTTTTCAAATAAATGTAAATTTATTGTTCATCAATTAGGTGGACTAAGTTAGTATGGAAGTTGGAAGCTGAGGAAAGCTAGTGAAGCTAGTATAAGGGAGTAAATTATGTAAGTAGTGTAAAATACAATTGTGAAAATATAGTAGTCTGGAATACATGGCTGCAAATAGCATTGGAAACCATAATTGGTTGAGTTTTGAATTGTTATGATTATTTGAACATTTTAGAAATAAAGTGTGCAAGAACTAGGTCTTTTTGGAAATTTTTACTTTCAACAGACTGATGGTCCCAAGCACAAAACTCGAAATCTGAAGGACTGATTATTATGTAATAATCACATATCCTGGAAAGTCTGCCACTGTCACCAAACATTAATCCAATCATACATAACTGGAAAGATATGTAAAGGAAACTTCAGAATATTCAGTATCAAATAAAATCACCTTAAGCATCATTTAGTGTAAGTATGAGAAAACAAATTGAAGAAATGTGCTTGAATTCGGTAGTTCCAAATATGTAAATGTCAATGTCTTCTAGCCTATTTATTAATGTAAAAGTATAGTGAACAAAGTATTAAATTGTTTTCCTTTGTTCTAATATTGACATAATGTTACGTGTATGAGAACTTTTTCCGATTTATGTTTTTTACTATATGCAAAGTTAGCTTTTTATTTTATTATATGTTTGTGTTTATTGTGTTCAGTATAAGCTGAAATATTTATCAGTGAAAATTTCATTCATTTGAATATGAATCAGATATTTAAATTAAAAATTGTTCATAAAACTTTAAATTGTTTTATAATCACACAAATGTATGAATACTTTTCTCCTTGTTGATAGTTTAGAAATATAATAAACAATAAAAAGGGGACAACTCTAGAATAATAAACTCCCTATAGTTAAATATTACTGAAGAATTTTTGGTTCTTATTTTTTTATTCAAATATTTCAGAAGTTATGCTTTTTTACATGGCATTTTGATATATTTTTAATGTATGCTTACAGTGCTACTCTGCATTTTATTATAATTTTATATATTGTCAGATTCCAATCCTAGTTCCTGATACTTATGCAATAAGAAATATTTAAGATTTAATAATTTGAATACATTCAAAATTCTTTGAAAAAATTTTTATAAGTGGTTTTGTGCTCTCTTGACAAATTCTGCCGAAGGTTTTGGCTCAAAAAAACATCTTCATATTATAAATGTATGAGGCATTATGATTTTATATAAAAGAATATAAAATATATAAACTATGGGTTTCTTTGGAAAAATTTGCTCTGCATTATATGAAGTAAAAGCTTTTCATAACTTTTCACTTATTTGGGAGATAATTTATTATTATGCATAACTGTCAACTCTCTTAGTTTTATCTAGCAACTACCAGTTTTCATCACATCTTTTAGATCATAGAATCTCCCAGTTTTTACTTTTCAGGGTGCAAGTTCCATTCCTCCACTCATGATTTTTCTTACCAAATTTTATTTGATCTGAATTATCTTAAACTACTGTAGACATGTATATAAGTTTGTATGAAGATTCAACCAATGTTTAATCCATTAATATTTGTATTTAATTTTGTTTTACATCAATATATGATACCTTATTAAGTTTAACCACACAATGTAATCATTATTTTATTTTTATCGAATTTTAAGTGTTTTGATCCCCCTATTGGGAGTTTTTCATATAAAAGTATAAGAAAATTTAAAAATGAAATTAATTAAATATTAATATATTTTACAGCAAAATCATATTATAAGTTATTCAGCAACCTGAATCAAGCATTATAAAGTGAATATGAGATGTGTAAATAAAGTAATATGACCGCTTCTTTTTATATAATTTTTTATTCAATTAAAATTAAATTTTCACATTGTCTCCTTTAAAGTAATCCCCTTGGTAAGTTGTATAGCCATGGAGACGACTTTTGTCCCTTCCAGTGGAACTCTGTTTGATTTTGGATACTGAAATTGCCTTTAATTGGTTAGTTACGACCAATTTAACGTTGTGTCCCAAAATAATGCCCTCAGAGATAGATCTTCAATCTCGGGAACAGGAAAAAGTCACTTGGATTCAAGTTGAGGGAATAAAGCAGCTAAATATGCCACATTGATGCTTTAACTTGCCAAAAACTCAATAATTGGAACTGTAGTGCGACAAGGTGCATTGTTGTGATGCGGCATCCAGTCGGTCTTGATTCCTGTCTCACATGCATAATGCTTTTTTGAAGTCTTTCAAGAACTTCTTGATAAAAAGTATCAGTTTACTGTTTGGCCTTGAGGCACCAATTCCCTCTTAACTGACTCCCCCACCATTGAAAATGCAAATCGGCAGACTTTAGATTTTTGACTAGCTCATTCCTGATTTTTGGTCTTGTTATGAATTTGAAGTGTGCCATTCTTGGCTTTGGCACTCTGTTTCTGGGTAGTATTTAAACACCTAGTACTCGTCACCGATAATGACACATTCTAGGAAATGAGAATCATTTTTAATTCACTGCAAAAATTTAAAGCCCTTTTCCCTTTTGTTGCTTTTTTTTTTTTTTTTTTTTGTGCGAGCGAAAGGTATTTCAGAACATCTTCCTCATCCCCAATTCATGTGTCAAAATCTGATGAATGGTGATGGGATTCAAATTTGACTCTTCTATGATCATTCTGATTGTTAAGCAATAATCCAAACCTACAAGATTCCAGATTCTGACAGTAATTTCGTCACTTCTTGCAATTGCAGGCCTTTCCCTGCAAGGTTCATTGTCAGTCAATTCCTTTCCTTCTGAAATACCTTGAACCACCTGAAATCCTATGTCGTTGGCAATATTGTTTCCGTAGTCTTGCTGAAGCTTTGCAAAAGTGTGTCACACTGTGCTCAGATCTGAAGTAAAATCTGATAGCAAAGCGTTGTATGAAATTGATGTCACTTACTTTCAGAGTGCACTAAAAAAAAATGAAAACAGTTTACAGAAAAAAACCTACAGACAACTAAGGGACTCTACAAAGTTCAGACTCATACTGACTGTGCATCAAATTTTAAATATCCCTCCCCTCCAATGAGAAGTCTGCAGTGTTGCCAAATCGAACATTATGCTTCCAGATGCATTACTCTATTTGCACACCTCATATAAGTAAATTTAAAGTTCTTTTGAAATCATGTTTTTCATATTTCAAGGTTGGAAGCTATGATTATTTGCTTCTTTTAACATACATATGTATATAGATTTTTATGTACAGCTGTTCATTAGTGGGGGAAAATAAATTTTATTTAGTCATGCATGATTTTAAGATTTTTTAATTTTTAATTTCAGGCTGTCACTGAAGAAGTTCATAAGAAGACTATCACAAAAACTCATACTACCCAAACAAGAACAACTCAGTTTAGAAGTGTTGAATTACATAGTATTGTTATTCCACCTGGTAAAGGGCAAATAACTGGTAATGCTTTCATCATTATTATTAAAATATAATAAGCGAAGAAAATATGTGCTCATTCTTTAATAAACTGAATGTTTGTGGATAATTTAATAGTTAAAGTGATAAACAAATTTAGGTTGTCCCTTTTCCAAAATTTGCCTCATGTGTTATAGTCTGATAACATGGCTCTGGATTCTTCATTTAAAGTATACTCACTTAATACAGTTTCAGAGACACATTTCTTGCAGTCTTTCTCTTACACATGCTATTACGCTTTATGCTATAGATATTTGTCATAAATCTGCAAACGTATATTGCAAGGATTAAATTTGGAGCTTAATAGTGGCTAAAACAAAGCATTCTGGGTAGTAGTTATCATATTACAAAATAAGCTAATATTGTCACCAAAAATATGTTTAGTACAGCTTTAGATCTGTGTGGTAATATTGCCCAGTCTTATATAAATCATTGTTACAGTATTCTGTACATAGAATTCCGTCAGATATTCATAAGAGGGGAAGATATAAATTAGTCAAACCATGGCATAATAAAGCTTCCCATAATATAATTTTTGAAAAAGTATTTTGATTTTATTCATTGCTTAAACTAGGATGTTTGATTCAGAGTCCAATCAATATGAATGCGAGGCTCATCACATCATGAAATTATAGAAAATTTGAAAGCTATGTGAAAGTTACAGTCAAAAGTCGTTAATTCGGACACCCATAATCCAGAGTGATCTATAATCTGGACTTCAAAGCTACAAACTTTCTGCACGTGTCGCATTGACGCATGCACATAAGACCTTTACGGCTGCAAATATGTGCGTGCGCAAAATACGTTTACAAATGTGCGTTTAATGTATAACGAACGGTATAAGCTAAGCTAAAATTATCTAATTCAGTTAATGTTGCAGATTGTGTTGTTCCTTAATCTTCAAATTGGATTCGGCTTATTATTTTTTTGCAGAGTGTTAGAGCAATTTTATAAAGTAAGCTTGACTTTCGATTATGTCAAATAGAATTTCTGATATATATTTACTAATATGTAAGGATCTACAAAGTGAAAGTATGTTTCGAAGTCCATTAAACAAAAAGTGGAGTTGCTGCAAAAAATGGATAAAGGCATAACCTTGTTTATCTAAACTTGTTTATCTTTAACGTCGCGGCGCGCAATGAATTGGAATGTGTCTGTCAGCACTATCTTCAGGGGCAGATGTTTTATTTATTTCGCTTATAATTCCTTACTAAATTTTATTTTCATCTAGATGTACTCGTCTTTGGTATGATTTAAATCAAATTCCTCATTATTATAATTCGCTTCCAATAGCGAAGAAAGTAACAGAGGTTATTGAAAACGAAAAAATTTCGATTGACAAATCAGTCGGTATTCTCGACACAGCAATTATACACTGAACGCGGAACTTCGTAACTGAACAAGAAATTATGTCTGTTTATAGCAGTGCTCCGCAACATTTTCTCACCTGCGATGCACAAAAAATCTTTCTGGAATTTCGTGGCACCAAAGAGTTCCGAGTTATCAAGGAATGCCGAAAAATTTCAAATGCTGACACAATCACCACACACCCACGCAACAGTGAATATTAAAAACCATTTAAACATTATTAAGGAAAAAATTGTCATTGTGTATTAAATACATGAAAAAAATTGCAAAATGTCAAATACATGTATTTGATTACGGCACACCTGTATCGTACTCATGGCACACCAGTGTGCCGCGGCACTCCGGTTGTGGGGCACTGGTTTATAGAATTAAAGAGAATGTATTATCACATAAAAAACGTAGCAACTTAAATAACTTACATTAAAAGAAATTTTTAATAAAGTAAACAAATAAATATTAAGCTTTTTTTTTGTAAATTTTGATACCCATTAGATCATAATTGTTCTTTATTTCATAAATTACGGTTTCATATTTTTAATTTTATAATTTCTGCATACCATCTCACCAGATTTAAACTAAAGATCTATAATCCGGAAAAATCGATAATCCAGAATCGATGAGTCCCGACGAGTCGAGATTAACGACTTTTGACTGTATTGATATCTCTTTGTTAAAAATCTGTAATATATGCACTATCCTTTATTTTTGTATTCATATAGTAGTACATAGTCTGAGATCTGGAATCATCGGGGCTTTAGCGACTCTAAATTTGAGAAAATTAAATATGTGAAATAATGGTTTATGATATAATTTAGCATTTATGACCTTAGGTGAATCAAAATTTACGAGAATTTGGACTAATACTTTCTTTTAGATTTTACAGATAGTCATAATTTCTTGTTCAGTTACAAAGTTCCACTGTTCAAGTCCTGTAAATGTGTCGAGAATTCCTACTAAATTGCCAGTAAATTTTCTTTGTTCTCAGCAACCTATCTTTAGCAATATCCTCTGGCTTTAAAATAATACCATAGATTTTGCTGTTTGTCAGTTGGTTGATAATTGGGGCATTATCATCTCAATAGAAAATCTTCTGTTATATCATCTTATTTATTATCACTTCTTCACAAATTCCATCAAATGGAAAAATGTCCCTTTTCGTTTACGATATTTGAAAAACATTCAAATTTGTGGCTATCATCGCAAAGCGTAGCTAAAATCTGCTATATCCTATTGGAGATGTGTCATAAGATTGTCAGCTAAAGACATGTTGTTCTTTAAATTTTGTCTTCCTTGAATTGCACAGTGATGAAGGTAAGCCTGAATTATATTAGTTATGTACTATTATACTTATGCCTACTTCCCATTCATGCTTAAGGCTTATCCGAGTCTTGAATAAATTAATTCCCATATATGCTGAAGGCTTATCCAGAGCTGGCAGTAGACATTTTGTGGTCCAGTGCAGTCCCTGTAGGGTCTAACTTCTGTTGCCAAGTTTCCTCAATTTTTAAAATTTTGCATCTCTGTGATTTCCCTAAATTCAAAGATTTTGCCATCCCTTAAATTTTGTTGCTCGGTGCTTCTCTAAATTCTAAAAATTTTGCATCTTCTTAATGCTTCTTACCTTATCTGAATAACTAATTGGCTGGTCTCAATTCAAATGTAATCTTTTGACCTTAAGTATCATTTATAAAAATCTATTTTTTGTATATGGAAAGAAATTTCTGTTAAATTATTTCTCCTCATCAACACATTCAACACTTCTCAGCGCAGTCTGTAATCATCACCAAGCATAATGTCAATATAAAAATTTACCATGCTCTTTGGCATTCAATTGCAAATATTTTTTTAAAAAAATTCTTAGACATTGTGAGTCATTTCTCAAACTGCCATGTGTAAGTAGTTATGTCATGATGAAGGTAAAAACTAATGAATAATAATTCGGTAGATTGGTGTCGGGAATATATATTATTCAGTATGCATAAAATGAAGAATGTTTCAGTGTGATATGTATGTGAAGTAAAAAGACAGGTACAGAGCCAAATTATTGATCATACATAATAAATTATTTTTTCTACAATATGGAAGTATTTTATTTAGCGCTGAAGGGAAATTAAGAATTGGGACTCTCTGCATGTTTTATTATAAAAAAATATCAAGCACTCATGGGTAAAGGTAACCCCCCCCCCAAAAAAAAAATCTTTAAAAAAAAATTGAATGTCTGGAGGTTCAGATTTTAGATTATTCCAGCTATTGGACATCTAGATTTTGAAATTTGTATTGAATTTTTTTAAGAGTCCTGCAATATAAATTTTTTTAATCTCATTAAATTTAGCTATTCTGACTATTGAAATGTAAAATTATCAATATATGGCCTTCTTCAATTAATTGGCAGCTATGTTTTAACTATTTTTTCATTTATATGTATATGAATTTTATATAATGCATAAAGATATATATATATATATATAATTAAATTAATTTTATTTCTTTTCTTACAGCTGAAGTTAAAATGCCATCTGGAAAATATGATAAACCAGTTGTAATAGATAATCAAGATGGTACTATTTCCATCAAATATGATCCGAAAGAGGAGGGCTTACATGAATTACATGTGAAATATAATCAAGAACATATACCAGGTCTGCATTTAATTTCCATACTTTAATTTCTGGTGGAGTAGCCTTATAGTGTGTTTTTGAGACTCCTAAAAATTGCAGTTTTTTTTTTAATTATTTCACTTATTGTTTGCATGTCTATATACAAATGTATTTACCTACATGCATATTGCAGGAAGTCCCTTCAAAATTTTTGTCGATACAATTTCAAGTGGTTTTGTCACAGCACATGGACCAGGCTTAAGTCGTGGTGTAGCTGGAGAACCAGCTAATTTTACCATTTATACAAAAGAGGCTGGTGCTGGTAAGAGAATTATTCTCTAAATACATAAACTAGAACCAGATTTAAATACACTAAAAATGAAAAGTTGATAGTTTTTCAAATTTTGTCAAATTTACAGGTGGTCTGGATGTAGCTGTACAAGGACCATCACAAGCAGAAATCACATGTCACGATAACAAAGATGGTACAGTTGCAGTTAATTATCTTCCTGCTGCCCCAGGTGAATATACAATCTCTGTAAAGTTTGCTGGTAAACATATTAAAGGCAGTCCATTCACAGCCAAAATCACTGGTATGTATTAAGATACTTTCGAAGTGTTGTTACTTATTCGGAATGTCCCATAATCAGTTTGTTGCAAAATGTATGTACTCATTGTTAATATATTCTGTAGGAGAAGGACGGAAAAGGAACCAAATATCTGTTGGTCATTCGAGTGAAGTATCACTTAAAGTTCAAGAAAAGGATGCTAGGAATCTAAACGCCAGCATTGTTTCACCGTCAGGGTTAGAAGAGCCTTGTTTCCTGAAAACACTGCCCAATGGACACTTAGGTGAGAATTTTTCAAGATAATATATTTACTTATTTGATATACTTTAAGCATGTTACTTTGACAAAAATTCAGTATATATTAAAATTTTTATTAATGAGAATTAATCTTTGAACCTAATTATCATGTTTATCTTAAAGTATAAATGAGTTATAATCTACTTACGAGTTTTTTTTTTTTTTTTTTTTTTTTTTTTTTTTTTTTCAATACAAAAATTAGCAAAAGAGGAAAAACTTTTTTGAAAAAAGATAAAATAAAATAATTTCTTAAAGAATTAGTGCATTCTAATACATTTCTTTAAACTCTAAATATGAAATAAGCAAATACTTTCCAATATTAGAAAGTAAGGAACATACACAGAAAATGCATCAAAATAATACCATTACCTGAATTTCATTTGTATATGTATTATTTAAAGAACAGTATTAACAATGTACACAGCTAGAGAGCAGAAAAATTTTCAATCTTTTATACTAGCAGTGCAAGTATGAGCATTGTGTACTAATATAAATTTTATACATTCAGTACTGAAGACATATGCAGAAAGGCTTATTGTGTATAATGATTTCATGGGCATTATGATTCCTTACAAGGAACTAAGGTTATTAATAATTACTTTAAAAAATATAAATTGAAGAGAATTTCTGTGTAAAGTGTTTATTAATGTCTTAAAGTTCCTTTAATACTGAAGTTATCAAATTTATTAAAATTGAATCAATAGTTATGTAAAAGTTTTAATACATTCAAAATTAGCGTATTTTTAATACATTTTATGATACAAATTGAAATGGGTTACTATCAAAATAATCAGAATATTATACACATATCTTTTAGAAGTTTTAAATGCTAATATTTTATAACTGAAAAACTTATCAGAACTCTAAGATTTTGTTTTTGATGAAATTTTTATATGTTATGGTGAAATGTTTTAGAAATGCGTAAAAACTGATTTTTAAATCTTCATTTCTGTCCATACTAATGGCTTAATTAATGTCCGTGAAATCGTTATACACAGTAAGTCTTTCTGCAAATGTCTTCAATACTGAATATATAAAATTTATATAGCTTATCATTCTAGTATTATACTTCGGTTTATGTTAATACACAGCCAATAAAGAATGGAGCATTCTTTTCCCTTTAGGTATATCATTTACTCCACGTGAAGCTGGTGAGCACTTGGTGAATGTGAAGAGAACTGGAAATCATATTCAAGGTAGTCCTTTCAAGATCAATGTTCTGGATAGAGAAATAGGAGATGCATCCAAGGTGAAAGTTATTGGAAATGCTATAAAAGAGGGCAAGACACATACTGCCAATGAATTCACCATTGATACTAGAGAAGCTGGTATGTTGAATATATTCTTGTTTTATTTAAAGCAACTTTTTCTTATTTAATGTTGTACAAGCATTAGTTTGTTTGGATATAATTTTTTAAATATTAAACATTATTATTTTGTATTTGATTTTTTATGCTGACTATTTTTAATGGTATTAAAACTGATAAGATATAGTGATATTAAAGCTATATGCTGAGCCAAAATAGTACCTGAGAAATGCAAAAAATGACCAATGTGTATTAAAAGTCACTTTTTTGACAATCCAGCCTATGGTTAATCTCCATCTATAACATATATATAAATTAGATCTCCTTGAAGGTAAAATTAGTTTATAATTGGATGAATCTGTAAAAAGGATCAGAAGTATTCAAATATGAATAAATAAAAAAAATTTGGTAATACTAAGTACATTAACTTTTAAATCATATTAAAGAATTTGTACTTTATAGTCAATAAAAAATGCTGAAAATAACTGCAAAAACAGAAAAACTGTTAATATGAAATATTAGCAATATAAAAATATAATCTTGAAATATAGCAATCCTGAAATATAATAAAGTTGGCGATTGTAAATGAAAACGCATTTCAACTCCACATGAGCAATAGAAACTTGAGACCTAGTGTGTGTAAGATAGTTAAATGAAAATATTATTGGATCAATCTTTCTACGCAGCAGAAAAAATAAAGTCTTTAAGACTGTATTGAACATGTGCTGTATTTATTTTTCAAAAATCATTACAACTTAAATATAATTCTAAAATTGTGTAGAAAAATTTACCTCAACTTGATGAATGTTCATAAAGAAAAAAATTGCTGATTATTGTTTCTTTACTTGTAGAAATATTCATGATCCTTTAGCTGCACCCAGAGTACACCCTGCACCAGAAAAAGGAGGCACGGGACAGTTTTACAGGGCATATTGCCAAAATTTAATTTGTGTTTTTCATATCTAAAAAGCACAACTTTGGATATACATTACATTTATGTATTATATCATTCTAACATAGGTATTTTGCTATAAAACCTGACTATTTTGCGTCAAGAATAATTCACTTGGCAAATTTCCTAATTTATGGTAACCTATTTCCCTTTCCCCTTCATTGTGCACCAGTGGAAAAAAGGTGCATCGTATATTTTTTCAAATAATTTTAACAAAATGTAAACCACATTTGGCTTTATATCACTGATAACAAATATGCCAAATTCCAAAACACACCTATACATAAATTCACAAAGATAATCTTGGGGAAATTTTGAATAAAATTTAATTTCTTAGTTTTTTGCAGAAATGCCTAGAAATACATCTACTTTAAGGTGATAGTAAACATTTTTAGATTATTATTGAAATATTTTTTCATAAATTTACAAAATTATTAAAAAATACAAATTTAAAAAATAAATCAGAAAATATCTATTTTATTTGGATTAAAACTAAATTTTGAATTGTGGAAGAAGAAATCAAGTAAATTTATAAAAAAAAATTTTTAATAATATATACCAAATGCAATAACATTGAGGGACTAAAATTTTGGGAGATAATTTTTTTAAAAACTTCTCGTGTGATTTTTACAAAACTTGGCACCTGGCACTTTGGCATATCTTTAGTCGTAGAATCGATGAGAAAAATCATTATATCATTTCAGAAAAGGTCAGATTTTGTCTCAAAATAAATATGTTAGAATGATACTATATATAAATCTAATATATATCCTCAGTCGCACTTTCAAGACATGAAAAACTCAAGTTAAATTTTTGTCAATCAGCTCAGTAAGATAGAACTATATAGAACAGCTATATGAAACTGCCCCTCCCTGTTTTTTTTTTTTTTTTCTTTTTTCCTGAGTGTACAGTAATGTGAATGTCGCACAAATGTCAATACGTGTCACAGCAAACATTTAATGTGACTACAAGAAATATCTTAATCTCTTCCACCCTGATCTTTCTTGACCTTGCTCACGTAATTCTTTAATGAGAGATATCTCTGCATGCTGATTTTGCCCCTCTCCCTTGATTAATTATTGAAATTTTTCAATAAATCCATAGAATCCCTTTTGAAAAATTCCATCCTTTTTGAAATAAATTATTTTTTATACTAATAGCCTGTGATTTTAGTTATTCCTTTTTTGTTAAAAATATTGGTATTTTATATTATGTTTTTACTTGGTGCGATACTAAGAAAGCATGGAACTATATTTTATGATGCATGTATACACATATTTGGTGTTATCAAGAGAGGTTGACCAAAGAGTTAGTATAGTGCTTTTTGTCTTGAGGATCTTCACAACCATTTTTTTCTGTTCCTTCTATCAGCTGAACATCCTGTCACTGCTAAGTTTTCAGATAAACACTGTTTATTGTACATTGATGTGAACTATACCAGTAATAAGTAACACGTAATAATAAAAGCATAGTGTAAAAGTGGGGAGCAAAAAGAAATAAAGAATCAACAATAATTCACTTTCATTTGCATTACCAAGAGTGCAGAAGCAAGGGCATTGGTAATAGTTTAATGTCATCTTTTGTTTTACAACTTAAAAATTTTTATTTAGGAAGTCAATTTTATTTGGTGGATATAATTCAATTTCTGTTATTTTAATATTAAAAAGAGGTGACATGAAAAAAGGATTTATTGTATGCATTTTATTGAAATACTTTGCATCATGCTTTCCTGTTTTCCAAAATCAATTTCATAATTTAATTCCTTACGTCCATGCGTAGTACCTTGCATCACATTACAAATGATGCCACACTTCCATAACATTACAAATAATGACATGCTTCTTCAACCAGATTCTAGTTATATAAAATGAGTTTTAATTATTATAATTTTACAAATGACATATTAATTTTCATATAATTTATTTTTTGTGTTAAGGTAATACAATTTCTTTATTAAGAGATTTAGTTAGAGAAATTTCTTAGTTTAGGTTAGATTATTTGAAATGACAAAATACATAAAGTCCTCATTCCTAACAGAAGCGATACCTCTGTGGAGAGCTGTCTAAGGAACGCTGGTTCGTATTCATGAACATATTAAGAAACCCATACAAAAGTATTTCTTACCTGTGAGATTAAAGGAGTATAATAATGGTAGTAAACTTTAAAATAAATACATTATTTAAATGATAATAGTATAAAGATAAGAAAATACCATTTCATCAGTACTTATATATGAAAGAAGTTAAAAATATCACCTGTGACAAAAGAGTGTAAATTAATATTGATTAGTGTCCAAAAGTTACTTTATTTTATATAGAATTATTTGAATTTTTTCCCGATGTTAATAAAGAAAATCAAATGAATACTTTAAAGAAAATCCACCTATCCAGCATCAGAGCCATGCCGTCAGATTTTAATACCTGAAACAAATCTTATAATTGCATCTCCTAAATATTTGCATTACTTTTGAAATCTTTATTTATGCAGTATTTGTGCCCCATCACTGGCAAGTACCTGAATCGCCCTATAAACGGCATGGCTTTTTGTTGTACAGATTTAGATTTATTTAAAAACTTTTGAAAAGTATGCATTATGAAATATAATAGTTTCATCTTATTTAAATCAAAGCAAAAAACTTAAATCACATAAAAACGAAATTAATTTCAGATAAGATAGAAATAATAAATAATCAATCCTCCTAAATAGAATTTTAGACATATTACTTCTTGTAACTAGAACTCCTCTCTATTTTCATACTTGCATTAAATAAGAAGAATAGCATGAACGCGTGTATCTCATGTTACCTCATCTTTATACCTCGAAACATATTTTCCAGATCCCCACCTTTGCTCTCTAAAATCATATTAAAGTTATTTTCCAAATGCCCAAGTCAAAAAATGATTCTGATTTCATCCTACATTTGAAGAAATTTGTGGATTACAAAGAATCTTCCTTGATTTTCTTTCACTTCTACCATGTTAGTACTTTACTTGGTGTTAATCATTTCATTCTTAATTATAATTTCTGAATTTCATGTTAATTATATACAGTACAAAGTCTGTAATCCGGACGTCTATTATCTGGAATGATCTATAATCTGGACCTCAAAGCCACAAACTTTTTTTTTTTTTTTTTTTTTTTTTTTTTGTATGCTTTACGCATGCGCGTTTAGCACAACAAATGAAGCATCTTAAACAACTTACATTGAAAGAAATGTTTAATAAAGTATACAAATAAATATTAAGCTTTTTTGTAAATTTTGATACTCTTTAGATCATAATTGCTCTTTATTTCATAAATTATGGTTTCATATTTTTAATTGTATAATTTCTGCATGCCATCTTACCAGATTTAAATTGATGATCTGTAATCCGGAAAAACCCTTAATACGGAATCACCGAAGTCCCAACGAGTCCGGGTTACGGATTTTGTACTGTATTAATTACTGCTATCATTCATGTTTACTCGCCATATATGTGACTAAGACATGGAACTTTTGAAATTCATCATATAAATGGCTGCATTATGTTCAGTTTGCTTTAGCTGTTAAGAGACCAGCAAAATGGATTTAGGAAATGCATAAATATTTAAAATAAGTGATTCAGATTAATGAAATAAATCATACAACATTTTTACCTAATACAATTATTTAAATATATTGAAGCGCTGCAAATGCACAGAAGATGTTTTTGATTTATAGTTAGAATATTGCATAAAATTGTAATTTGTCAATGGAGAAATAATGGTGAAAGAAAAATGTATGTTTTATATAACTAAATAAAATATTTCTTTAATTTAATTTTGAGGGTTACGTTCTTGATCCACTGATTTTTGTACCCATAACTATTTGTTCAGCTTAGAAGATTAAGCAACAAATCACTAATTTGAAAACTAAGATTTCAGTAAAAGATTAGGTTGATTTACAAAAGGTTTTTATTCAAAACAAAACATTTTGTCTTACCAGAAAAATATTCAGTTAGATTAATGTCTTCCAAATATAGTCCTAAAATGGTTTTTCTTTCATCTAATTGTCAAATCTAATAATTTTGTTCTTTGTCTAGAAGGAAAAGCAATTAAGAAAGAAATAGAGAAAAAATTGTATTAAAAGACAAAAATTAAAAAATAATACTGCAAGCCAAATAGAATTTTTTTTAATATTTCTTTTTAAATTGAGGAATTTATACAGTGTAATAAATTATGAATTAAATATAGTTATATAACTTTAATACTATAAGATTCAACCTTATTATAATGAGAAAAGTTAATAGGATTTTATTGAATATTTTCAGTAATTTAAAAAATTTCAAATATTATGGAAATACTTTACCTTGAGTATAAATTCTTATTGGATTAATAAAACATTGCTTAAATTCGGTTTTACTGAAAAAACTCTCTAAAACAGGAGTACTGTGACATTGCACTAATTGTTTAAAACTAATGCAGTATTGCACGACATGCATTCACATCTTCAGTGATATTACATTCATGCCATTTTATTATGTTCATGTCACTCTACGACCCTATATCAATGTCGGAATGTGACATTACATCAGTGTTGCAGTATGACTTCACAGCAGCATCACAGTGTAAGTCCATGACAACATTGCAACCTGACTACACATCAATGTCACAATGTGACTTCACATTAATGTCACAATACAGCATCACATAAATGTTGCAGTGTGATGTCTCGTAAACGTCACAATGTGACATCACAAAAGCAGGCATCAAGCCATACCTACAATGTCATTGGGACACTGAGATCATCACAGTGTGACACGATGTCACAATGGCATTCGCCATGCTGTTGGGAGTGTATGAAACCTGAATTAGAGCATCAATCATTATCCAGACAGTCAAAGATGAAGTAAATAAAAAAGGATTAAGACTTTCATATGAGTACTTGCTGAATAGAAATACTGTCAGTTTCTAACAAGTGTCATAATCTTCCTTGCATATATTTTTAATTGAAAGCTGAATTTTTTCTTAAATATTTTTCCCCCTTCAGTGGTTTTTTTAAATAATTGCATAAGGCAGAATGTTGTTTTAATATTTTTCACTAAAAAAATTATCATTTCTCATTCTATGTAAGTATTTTTCAAATTCTATAGAAATTTTACTGCAACCCAACATATGTTAAACCATCCTTGGTAAACATCATAATTATTCCTTTAGATTTTAAGCATTTTTCTCTTATAGGTTTTGGTGGTCTCAGTCTCTCAGTTGAAGGACCTAGTAAAGCTGATATTCAATGCAAAGATAATGAAAATGGAACATTAACTGTAAGTTATAAGCCTACTGAACCTGGATACTATATAGTAAATCTGAAGTTTGCTGATCATCATGTTCCAGGTAAAATACATTCTTTTGTTTTTATTAATATTGGTGTTTAATTATTATATGGTAAATACATATTTAATTCTTTTTAATTGGTTAATAATTGCTTATTTTAGGTAGTCCCTTTACTGTAAGAGTAGTAGGTGAGGGTTCAAATATCCAAAGAGAATTCATTAAGAAGCAAAGGGAGTCTGTCCCCGTTGCAGATGTTGGAAATGAGTGTAAACTTACCTTCAGGCTTCCAGGTAATATATTCTGAAAGTTTAATGCATGTGATGCATAAAATATGATACTTCCTGGCAGGGCTTAATTTCTAAGATTAGAAGTGCCGGAGCCCTATGAAAGACCGTCAGCAAAGAGAAACAACAGTAAATAAATAAATAAAATGACTATTAAACTCATTAATAATTTTTTAATTAAATAGTTAATTACTATCAAATTAATTAATAGCTACTTAATTAATGTTTATAAATTGTTATTTAATCAATAATTATTATATAATTAATTATAATTTAATTGATAATTATTATAGTTAATTAATTATAATTTTAATCAATAGTTATTAGATAATTAATTATTATTTCTTGAAATAATTAAAGATTGAAGTAATTAAATAATTAAAATGTAAAGAGATAAATTGAAATTTAATAAGCGATTTTTAATATAATTTTATTGTTATTCAATTACATGAAAGAAGTGCCGCAGCCTTCTTGTTCAGGGCTTCTTATTCGGTGCGTTCCGGCTAGAATTATGATTTATTACAAAAACTAGGAAGCACCGGAGCCGAGATCCGGTGGGCTCCAGCCCAATTTAAGCCCTGATCATAGGGGGGGGGAGGTAGGTTCTTTTATCATCACAAAAATTAAATATACTTAAAGTATAGCTGATGAAAATTCCAAGGTGAAACAGAATGAGGGTATGAGTGGGTGGAAACAAAAAATGAGGGGAATTTTGGTGAGAGTATGTTCTCTTTGACCACGGCTCTCTACTGATATAATTATAGCCATCAAGCAGATGTGTGTCAGGGGTAAAATGAGTCGTGAATCTGGCTCCTAAGGATGAATGTAAAGTTGCTGTTTACGCTCCACCCCCCATTAGTGGATACTGTTTGAAGACGATGTATAGGACGTGCATGAGCAGTTTATTATATCCAGAAATCGAGATTATCAAGAAATTTACGCGTTCCTAAACAAACTCCCCCCCCCCCATATTTATTGCCCTTCTGAAAGGAAAAGGTTTCCGCATGTGAGTGAGGGGACTTTACTTGAACGCCTAATGTTCTCATGAGCTCGTATTTGTAGGGGAAAAAAGTATTGCAAGGTCTGCTTATTATTAAACTAAAACGTTAGGAATTCTAATTTTTTTTCCCTTTAAATTGTGGTTCATTTTTATAAAAAGAAGTACCGGAGCTCATCTTATTTAGGGCTCCGGTGCGCTCCGGTTAAAATTGTAATTTATCTTAAAAATTGAGAAGTACCGGAGCCAGGCTCCGGCGCAATTTAAGCACTGCTTCCTGGTTAAATTATTGGCTGTTGTAGTCCTTCATCAAAATTGGTGCACTTAATCACCAAATTTGTACTATGCCACTTTATAAATTTCAGATTTGAGTCAGCCACTTTATAAATCTCAGATTTGAGTCACAGAAGATGTATATTATAGCTGCTTTAACAAGGAAGTACCTAAAATACATAAGTAGAAACATGATTTACAAATGTTCAGACATGCAGTACATATGCTCATAATGATCAAATGAAGATATTGATCAAGTTTATTGCCTTTTAGGTTCAAGTGCTTTTGACATGTCTGCAAAAGTTACATCTCCTTCTGGCGTATCAGATGATGCTGTTATTACAGATTTGGATGACTGTTTATACTGTGTTCAATTTGTACCAAAAGAAGTAGGAGTACACACTGTAAGTGTCCGATGCAAGGATATACATATACCTGGATCACCATTTCAATTCACTGTTGGACCCTTCAGAGACCATGGAGCCCATCGTGTCCATGCTGGTGGTCCTGGTTTGTTGAGAGGAAGCACAGGTGAAACATGTGAGTACTTCTAATTATCGTTTCGTGTTTAAAATTTGCAACATAATTTTAAAAAATAAATATTGGCTTGTGATTTAGTGTCAGTAATGGATAAACATGATTGCACAACACAATCATAAGATGTTCACTTTGATTTATTCTTGATAAGCTGGTTTAATTTTTTTAAAGAAGGCCTAAGTTTTGATTTTCCTCATATTTGGAAAAAAATTATTAATATTTGGAGTAGTATGCAGTGAAGTTTTTCCAAAGTTACAGGGTACAGGCATTAAAAAAAAGCCACCGTACACAACTTTGGAAATGGATAAACAATGGCAAAAATTATGATAAGAGATTTAAGTTTTTATAATGCTGTATCAATAATTTGTATCTGTTTATTCCCTTACTAAATAAAGAAGGATCTTTTCAATTAAACTTCTGCCAGAATGATTGGTGACATCACCAGTAATTATGCTTGGCAGGATTTCGTAATTAGATCAGATAATTTATGTTTGAGACCTACAAGATACTGTGGTGGCCTTTTATGATTTAAATGCGTCCCTCCTATGAAACTGTAATATAATTTTAAATGTAGGCTTTTAATATTAAAGTTGGTAACATATAAGGAGATTGCTTCCTTATTCATTTGGCTTTTCTAATATGAATTGCATTTTTTATATTCTCATTTATCTGCAAGTCAGAATTTTCCACGCTTCCCATATCAAACTTTTACTGTAGTATGTGTTTGAATTTGTCAATGCTAAATAAATTTTCAGATACAAAAAAATTAATTTATATTTTGATATAAATTTAGACATTTCTTTCAAGATTTATAGTTACATACAAGTACTGTAATAATAATATATCTAAAGTATTTAAGGTCTAGCTAGATTCAAATAAATAAAGCTAAATTTAAATAAAAGTAAGTTTAGATATGTTGAACATTTTAAGTGAAAATTAAATAAAATTATTTATTACGTAACAACATATTAAATAAAAAAACTTATATTGTATACCATGCTTTCTCTTGCAATGCTGTGCAAACTGCCAGTGATCCAAATTCATTATCATCAGTGTATATTGGTTAACAATTTTATAAAACATTTCATGAGTATATTACCATGAATAGTAAAAACTATTAAGATTTTGAAAAGGAAATTTATTGTGGACCACTTAATAGCCACAGTGGTAAAGTATCATAATATCAAGATATCAAGAAGTTTTTCCAAGAATTCATATATGGTTTTACACTTTTTTGGAAGGAAAATGCAATGATAAATTTGTGATTACTGGCTTATTATAAAAAATAGTAAATCAAAAGGCATTGAAAGTTGCTTGATCCAAATTATTTACTTAAAAATATCATGTACAGTACAAAGTCTGTAATCTGGAACTCCATTATCTGGAATGATCTATAATCCGGACCTCAAAGCCAGAAACTTTTTTTTTGTATGCTTTACACATGTGCGTTTAATGTTTATGCATGTGCATTTAGCATAAAAAATGAAGCAACTTAAACAACTTACATTGAAAGAAATGTTTAATAAAGTAAACAAATAAAAATTAAGCTTTTTTTTTTTTTTTTTTTTTTTGTGTGTGTGTGTAAATTTTGATACCCTTTAGATCATAATTGCTCTTTATTTCATAAATTACGGTTTCATATTTTTAATTGTATAATTTCTGCATGCCATCGTAGCAGATTTAAATTGATCTCTAATCCGGAAAAATCCTCAATCCAGAATCGAAGAAGTTCCGACGAGTCCGGATTATGGACTTTGTACTGTATCATTCTAATAAAATGTTTGCATTTTAAAAATAATAAAAAACAAAGACTCGCTATCTGCAAGTACAGAACAATAGTATTTTAAATCAAGTCTTTTAGAGCAATGGTATCAAATTCAGTTACAGGCTGAATGCACAATCTAAAAGCAGCTGACAAATGCCTTTTTTGAAAAAAGATAAAAAAAGGTTTTTTAGAAAACAAAATTTTTAAACTAATTAAAATTTTATTTACTAAGTATTTATAAACAATAAAAATGTTGCAGCAGAAAAAATTCCAGTTTATATTATGTGTGAACTAAAGGTTAGTATCTGCAAGAAATTTCTGTTACTTCGTAATTCAAATGTATTGATAGCTAAATATTAAGTTTTCAGACTAATATTTATTTCAAATAATTGTAATATGTTAAATTAAGCATTAAACAATTAAAGAAATTATGAAAACATTCAAAATGTGTCAGAATTTTAAGAATAAGTAATGATAGTGTATTACTCTTCTTTTATGCATAAAATTTTTTTTTGTTGCAAGCAGAAAAAATGCATATGTTTGTATATAAATATTTATAAACTTCTTTATTTCTTACTACAACTTTCAGCTTCAGCACATCATGTTTTAATTTTGATAAAGTAATAACAGTGGAAATAATGTAATATTACACCAAAAATTATTAAAACTAATTAATCTTTCTTCATATTCTTGCATAATAATGCTAATTAGCTTATGGTAAATGTATTCACAGGCTGCATAAAATTGCTTCGGTTGCAGCATGTGGCCCACTGGCCACCAGTTTGAGACCACTGCTTTAGAGCATACTTAAATGCAAGTAAAATATTTTTGATGTAGTTTAGTAATTTTTCCTTTTTAAAATAAATATCTGCAAACATGAATTGTGGAAAGGTATATAGCCACTGAAACAGCTGTAGTAAAGCAATAAATTTATTGTATAAATTTCTATTTTCTCTAGGTGAGTTTAATGTTTGGACTCGAGAAGCTGGTGCAGGAAGTCTTGCAATATCTGTAGAGGGTCCTTCAAAAGCAGATATTGATTTTAAAGACTGCAAAGATGGTTCCTGTTTTGTAACATACAAAGTATCTGAACCAGGTATGTGTATGTGTGTGTGTGTGTGTGTGTGTGTGTGTGCATATGTATATATATGCAAAAGTTGTGGGAGAATTAAAAGAAAAATGACAACAAATTATTTCTAGTGCAAGGAACTTGATAAAATTCATATTTCCAGGTGATTATAGAGTGGGAATTAAATTTAATGAGCAGCACATACCAGACAGTCCTTTCCATGTGTATATTATGCCACCAGCTGGTGATGCAGCCAAGATTGAGCTAGGAGAAATTCCAGAGGCACAAGTGAATAAGCCTTTGACACTGGCAATTGTTATGAATGGAGCTAAAGGAAACTTGGATGGCAAGGTCATAACACCATCTGGTACTGAAGATGATTGCTTCATTGCACCACTTGATGCAGGTACTATCTATCTCAATGCTTTGGTGTTTTAATAACTGATATGTTTTCATAATAATACTAGAATGAAGAGAATACAGTTTTTTAATATTAGAATTTTTTCTTGTTTAAACTAAAACCTTTATTAAATACCTTAATTATATGATTAAATATAAACATTAGTCTAAACAGTTCTGATTTAATAAATAAAAGTATTTAGATACAAGATTCATAACTATCTGAGTGTTAGATTTATATCTAAATCTGAAACCTAATATGAGTTTTTCATGCCATATATTTTTTGCTAATAATATTTTGCCTGCTCCACCAAATTCACCAGCTGGAACTTCTTGACATAGTTTGTGTGTAAAATTTTAATTTTGTACATTTTTACTAGATATATGTCACATTAGCAAAATTATGATAGTCTTGAAAGCCTATCAGGTAATACCCTTTTCTGGAAACCAAAGTGACGTGTTTAGGCACTATACCGAAAGACAAAACACTTTTAATTAATGGAATTTTAATGTAAATGAGGAAAATATATATACATTTCCAGAAGTGCAAAGGTCCTACTTAAAGTCTTAATTAATTTTTTTCAAATGGCCATAAACTGGTAATAGCAGCTTACTTCTATTAGAAATGTGATTTTTAAAGTAGCAAATCATTTGCCAGTATAAATACCTTCTAATTTTCTGACAGTTTTTCTCCACTGCATCTTCATATGGCATTTGCAGTGGCACAAAATTTATTTTATTCATATTTCCCCAAATGGAGGATGAAAACTGAAATTGTCATTATTTTGAACTAAAGAAAAAAAATCTGAATGGAAAAGATTTTAAAATTCTTAATGCTTGTTTATAGTTTAGGCTTTGTCATGTCATTTGACAATAAATGTCTTCATTTCATCAGTTTTCATATCTTTCATTTTTTTTTTGTTGGGGAATATAAACTGATATATATATATATATATATATATATATATATATATATATATATATATATATTCGCTGGTTTTACCAACTTCACATAGATAGATAATTAGGTTTGTTTTGGGCATTAAATTTTTTTTTCCACCTTTTATTTTTTACTTTGAAATTGATTTTATATAAAATCAGTAATTAATTTTAAATAAAATCAGTAATTAATTTAAATTAATAATTAATTTAAATTTTACATCGATTTTAATTATATATGTAATTAAAATCAAGAGTTGAAGGGAATAAGGAAAGGAAACTGAAGAAAATTATATGCATTACAACCTGCAGTCTAGAAATAAACTTTGATGTAAATCAAAATGATGTAAAAGAATCTAAATAAAGTAGTTTAGGCTTCATGAGATTTTTATATTGCTGGAAACATGCATATGTAAGTAGTAGTAAAATAATTATCACATTATAAATCAAAGGGAAAAAATGTAGTGAATTGAAAAATGCAGAAGTAAGTATGAGAGAAAAATAAATACTAATTGAAACTGCAACACAAAATCTCTTGAAATTCAAGCTATCTTATTTATGTGCTTTAAATCTTCTAGCCTATTTATGTTGATTTTTGCAATTTTTGGCTAGGAGTTTCTTTGTTCCCCAAGCACATAATTAAAGATGAAGGATTTTGACTATATTGTTCCAGTTCTGAATTCAAGTTTTATAATTTCTTGTGATATTCCTCTTTTTTCAAGCTCCTTGTGTGCACTCTTGTTACAGAATCTAGAACTGGTTATTGCTTTAATTTTAAATGCATGTTATGATATCTTGTTTTTAACTCAGCCATAATTCTCATACATAGAGCATTTTTGTGTTGCTGCTTAAGTATGAATTCATCTTTAGGTGATAAGTTAGGTGCTTATATACCATTTCTGATTGATATCATTCTTAATGGCTTCATGACTTTTTTATCATGTATCTTTTTTTCAAAGTATTCTGATACTATTTTGGTCAATATAACATCTGGAGGCTTAGGTTGTTGTTACTGACCAGTACAGTATCAGATCTGCAAAAATTCCTTCAAAGTGTCTGAAGCAGCTTGATCCTATGCTATTGCTTACCGAGCAAAAGTACTTTAGCATTTAAACTGGGAGTTTTCTGGCATTAACATTCTGTGTAATGCTATCTCTCTCAATAGTCTTGAAGGTTCATCTCTTTGGCAGTAAAGAGAGTGTTATTTAATTTCAAACAAATGAAGTTTAGTCTTTCGTTACAGTAACAGAATTTTTTAAGCATAAAATATGGTGGAATCACCGTAAATCAGTAGTCTTGTGCCAGCTGAGTGCTTCAAGCTGATTGCATCTGAAATGTTCTGTTAACATAATATTAGCTCATTGATTCTTTCGGTCATAATGTTTGCTGTAAAAATTAAGGCATAGTTGTTTCAGTGAACGGTAATTCTCTACCACAGAAGTCATTTTTACATTATTGATTCTTATTAATTCATTCTGGTTTTTTGGTTTTGTGTGATTATGCAAAGCCTCAAGGGCTATCTCCGTAAGGGGAGAGATGCCTTTGTGGAGGACTAAGGGAAACTGGCCCATATACACATTACACATGGGAAAAAGCACAAAAACACCCATGCAGCCAGCCAATTCATGGGACTCAACCTCAGACAGAATTACTAGCGTTCAGTGATTTTACCACTCACCCGTCGCTAAATTATAGCCTTACACTAGACATTCATTCTGTGATTTCTAGTGCAATGCTATAATTTTCAAAGTAATGGTACTTGAACTATACCAGCCTAATACAAAAATTTATCAATCACAGTGAAGCAAACAAAAACCAACATTTATGGTTTAGTGATTATTTGATAGTGCATAAGGAACCATTTGCTTTTATAAAATAATGAATTACATTTCCCGATTTTTTTATAAATTGACTAAAATTTGAATAAAAATACTACTTTTATTAAAAGTAATAAAAACTTTATTACTCATAGTAAGCATGCTGGTGACATTTCAACTTAAATTTTGCATCTTATGTCAAATTAGATTTTTGACATTGAAAGCATAATGTCAGTTCACCGAATTAAGATGTTGGGGTTTATATAAAAAATGAATTAATAGTTTGTTAAATAAAAATTTTACTTTCAATCAGAATATTAATAGTTCCTAAATATTTCCTTCAGATCAGTGGGCTTTACGTTTTATACCACGAGAGAATGGTATTCATCTAATTCATATTCGTTGTGATGGTATTCATATCCCTCAGAGTCCATTCCGCTTGCGTGTTGGTGTTGATGATGCAGATCCTGCTGCAGTTCATGCTTATGGCCAAGGTCTTAAAGAAGCTAAGTCAGGTAATACTAAAACCTTACAGAATTTCCATTAAAATATTAATAATTGCCTATTACTAATAATAAATATTCATTCTTAAGGTACAAAGATGGACTTTATTGTTGACACTTGCAGTGCTGGTACTGGTACACTAGCAGTTACTATAGACGGCCCTTCAAAAGTATCGATGGATTGTACTGAAGTGGAAGAAGGCTACAAAGTTCGTTATACCCCTCTGGCTCCAGGCGATTATTTCATAACTGTGAAATATAATGGTTATCACATAAGCGGTAGTCCATTTAAAGTTTCATGTACAGGTTTGTAATTATTTGTTTTAACATTTTCTTAAGCATTGCGCAATAACTGAAATTTATTTATGTAAACCATCTAAAAAATGAGTTCAATTCAAGATAATGCCTGATGATTCTGAAAAAGTGTGTTTCTTTTGAAAAACTGTTCCTTGTATTCAAGATCTGGTTATTTACCTGTCTTCCATAAACTGCTTGTATTGATTCACAGATAATTTTCTTTTAATAATTAAAGATAATGGAAGAAATGAAATGAAGAAACATTTGTTCAGATGAACTTGAATTAGTTGTTGGAAGGAAATCAAATTTTTAAAATAATCAGATCTCTGATAAATGCATTCAGACAACAAGTTCCCTTAAAATGGGTATGTCCATGTAGTGATTGTTTTCGTCTTGCTAACAAAGACAAACTCTTGCAAACTATTTGCAAAAGTAATGCCAAAACCTTTCTGTTCTAACTGTTGAACTATGCCAACGTAATACAAGAGCTGACCAATCACAGTTAAAGAAACAAATTAACATTTGTGGTTTTATCAATTCAGCTTCACCTTTCCTAATAATTTATGGATTATCTGAAGCCTAAAGAATAGCAGAGACAGCGATAAAAATGGGTGAAATTCAAATTGCAGGGAAGTAGAAATTAAGGCATCTCTCAGATATTGTAATGTTAATATTACAGAATAATCTTGTTAGAATGTAGGTTTCTTTTAAAGAAATAATAATGTGATATTTACCCATAGTTTATCCATGCTACGTTTCACTTGTTACATCTTTACTTTAGACCAATCGCCAATTTCTTACTTATTTTAGACCTTTTTTACTGACATCCTTACCAATCTTAGAATGATAAAATTAGCTTTAAAAATTAAATAAATATATGTGAGAATGTATGGTCTGTATGATGCCAAAGTTTTACAGAAGTTTGATTGCAACTCCAGATTTTTTTCAATAGTAGTACCAGCAGAATGTAATTAAATGATTTTGAAATTTCATACAAATTTAACCTCCTCGCATTGAGCGAATTAAGCTACCCTAAATGCCAATGAGCTTGGAGCATTGAATATCACCATATGAAGCTTCTATAATTTAGGTTAAAATAGCATGCTGAATAATGATTATTGTAGAAGCCAAACAACAACAATCAGCATAATATTTGTATTTTTTGGGGGGTGGGGCAGAGCTAGTTTTGATGATTTAACTATAGAACCATCTACCTAAGTGCAAATGAATGAGATTAGAAATGCTGATAAAATAAGATAAAATTAAATAGGCTGGACTGAAGTTAAGCTGCTGGCACCATCTATTGATGAAACAAATAAATAAATAATTTCCTTAAAAGCTGAAGGTAAAGATGAATTGGAATTAGGGTCATTAACTAAAACAGAAAGATTGTTTTGAATGTGTGATGCCTCAAAAAAATTTAATTCTCCAATGGAAGATATTTTTTGGATAATTTTGGCTACAGAAAAATGTAAAGTGTGATTTTTGGATCAACAGTGCTGGGCAATAGAGGATTTCTCTGTTTCCTTTTTCCTAACATATGCCTCATGTTCTTTAATGCAAAATTTTAAGACTGTCTTAGTTTGACCAATGTAAATTAAACCATGCTAGCAAGGAATTCATATTCGGAATAGGGTCCTTAAGTTTGAATTTTATTGCTCTGAGAGTAAACAACTTGAAAATTAAGCATGCAATTTTATATCTAATTGATGGAAAGCAAGGAATCACAACAGAATTCTTATAATCTGAGAGTGTGCCTTTTGATGTGTTGAAGTGAGAATTTTTTAACTGCTTGCTTAATAATGTTGGGTGAAAAGACCCTGTAAATAGCAAGTGCTTGAAAATAATTTAGTTCTTGATCAAGAGCCAACTTGGAGGAGCAGATCTGAAGTGCACAGAAAACAAAGGAATAAAATGAAACTAACTTACGTTTAGTCAAATGACATGATTTACTGATATCTACATTCATTATTCTGAATCAAAATTATTTGAAACTTTAATTTTCCTGGTATGGTTCCACTATGTAGATGATACTTTTATCCTGTTTGACATTAATAAAGATGATTTAAAGTTCTTTCAATAATGATTTCCATTGATCCTGCTAATGAGCTCACTTTTGAACTTGAGATATCTAATTCTCTTCTGTTCCTGAACATTTTGGTCATACATAACATATCCAACTTCAGTACTTCTTACCTTCATCAGTTTGCCTTTCCACCACACTTCAAATCATGTCATCCGACTAAACAGAAGTTAGCTTCATTTTATTCCTTTGTTTTACGTGCACTTCATGTTTGCTCCTCCAAATTGGCTCTGGATCAAAAACTAAATTATTTAAAACAGTTGCTATTGACAGGGACTTTTGATTCAACATTATTAAACACACAGTTAAAAAATTCTCATTTGAACACATCAAAGGGCACACTTTCATTTTAGGAGATTATAAAAATTCTGATGCTATTCCTTTCAATTGATTAGCTATAAAATTGCATGTATTTTGCAGAAATTTAACTTTCGGGTCATTTATTCTCCCATCGAAAAAATTCCAATACTCAAGGACCCCATTCCGGATATGAATTCCTGGAGTATTTACAGGATTCCTTGCCAGTGTGGTTTAATTTACATTTGTCAAACTAAGGCAGCCTGAAAATTTCATATTAAGGAACATGAGGCATATGTTGGAAAAAAGGAAACATAGAAGTCTTCTGTTGCCCAACATTGTTGGTCCGAAAATCAATTTCAATTTTTCTGCTGCCAAAATTATTCAAAAAATATATTCCATTGGTGAACTGGATTTTCTAGAGGCATTCACATTAAAAAAAAAATCTTTCTGTTCTAGTTAACGACCCTAATTCCAATCCATCTTTGCCTTCGGCCTTTAAAGAAATTATATTTTATTTCTGGTTTAATCAACGGATGGTGCCAGTAGCTTGTCTCCTGTCCAGGCTTTCTTATCTTATCTAATCATTATATCTTATCTCGTTCATTTGCGCTTTTGCAGCTGTGGGTGATGGTTTGGTAAAACCATCGAAACTAGTCCTGTGAAAATTTGAAAATATAACCCTGATTTTTGTGGTTTGACTTCTAAATTAATATTTGTTTGGCATGTTATTGTATCTTAACTGGAATAAGTCTTTATTTTGTTTATCTAATATAACTATGTTATCATTTAATATAGCTTAAAAACCAAAATTTACTGTAATGTTGCTTAAACATTTTAGAACTTAGAAAGTGTTCTGCGATCAGAAACATTTGGGAAACACAGCTCTAAATGTTTCCTGTTTTTAATTGGACAGAAATACTCATTGAAGTGAATCTTTGTCAACCTCCAGCTAAGACATTTTGCTGAATTAAAGACTTTGAAATAGCTTGAAGACTAGGTTTTTTTTATTTTTTTTATTTAAAGAAAAAGAAATCCTCGTGCACCACAAAGTATCGCACGAGACTTACAAATCGTAAGTGAAAAAGGCAGAATAGTAAGTAATATCATCAGTTTTCAACAATACAATGAAATCATAACAAGGAAAAAAACACAAGTAAATACAAAAGTATAAAAATGTATAAAGAAATCATTAACAGTGTTTAAAATAAAAGTCAACAAAATCATTGAAAGCTCGGTAGGCCGAAATCGAGGATACAAAATCATAACATTTCGGCGGCCAATGAATTCCAATGAATTTCAATCTACATTTCAAAAGATTTCTTGCTTTATCAAGCAGTGGGCAATCAAAAAGCAGGTGGAAAACACTTTGCTCAACGCTAAGATTGCAATTACACAAATTGGAAGATATCAGCTTAAATCGTTTAAGATAAACATTAAACTTACCATGTCCAGACAAAAATTGCGTAATTTTAAAATTGAGCAACAAGTCCTTACTTTTCAGTCTTTCAAAAATAGTTGGGAAGAATGCTTTTGTAACAGATCCCTTATCAGAAGAGATATAATCACAGTTCCACCGCTCAATCATTTTAGCTTTGAATGTTTTTTTTAAATAAGATTTTGGAATATTTTACATCAACGTTAATATCATTTTTAGTTGCATTCTTAGCAAGCCAATCAGCTCTCTCGTTTCCATAATTACCCGAATGACCACGGACAAATGTAAAAAACACTGAAATACCCCTCTTCTCCAGATCTCCGAGAGACTGCTGTATATTGACAATAATATCATTACATAAAGAGGTATTTTTAAGAGATTCCAGGGAAGAGAGTGAATCCGTACAGATTAAGTAGCTGGAACCACTTCCATTCTGGCTAATTATCCACTTGATTGCAAAATTAATACACAGAAGTTCAGAAATATATACAGTACATTCATTTCTAATGCGAAATTGGTGACACTCAATTTCAATATCATCTTCAAAAATAACATAAGCAAGACCAACTTTATCATCAATCCTACTACCATCCATATACAGCACAAATGAGAATGAATTAACATCAGTGTCCGTACTATCCAGAATCTGTACTGGTTGTCCAGAAGGATGTGGTAGAACAGACAAGGGCAATAAACGACCAAAGTGAGAATTGGAGTAATTTGCAAGACTATTCTTATAATCTATAAAAGTCAGAATAAACAAATCATTGAAGACTAGGTTGAACTTAATTAAAGCTAGACTGAATTTAAATCTTTTTTTAAAGAAATTAAACCTAGATTGAATTTAAACTTTTGTTTAAATTTAATTTTAACTAAACAACTGTACGTCTTGCTAATATCCCATCTAGGTATTGTTTACTTTTTAAGAAAGAAATATCCTGTCTTGAAATGTACTTGACAGCCTATGACACTCAAAAATCAGGAGATTTTTCACGATGTTAAAAAGACTTTTTAAATGATAAAAATATAGTTTTTAATAATGAATTAAATTTAAATAGTTACTAATTCTTAAATGCAAGCAACATAAAAATACCTTACACATAAAAAACATTTTTATTACTTGCATCATTTAAGAAAACAAAACAACAACAAAAAAAAAAAAACTTTTAATCAGTTTATGTACAAATGTTA